AATCGTTAGAAAACCCTTGGGTCATATATATTTACTTTTATATTTATGGTTTTGTATATATATTATACGTATTATTATACGTATTATTATAGTCGTTAGTTAAAGGTTGAATATTTCTTTTTTAGTTAAAAAAAATTTTTAGATATCATTTTCGATATCATTCGATATCATTTAGATATCATTTTGATATCATTTTAGATCCTCCTTTCACTTGACCACATCTCGTTAATATGAATCCAAGAATGGAAATAATTAAATTAACGTCAAATCGTAAATGCGATAAAAAAAATAAAAAAATGGGCAATACGTACAGTCCTTGATAAGTTTTGACCTAGCATTAATTATTCATTTAAATAATTTTTAAAACATGTTTTAAAAATAAACGTCCTTTTCACGACAAATGAAGTATAGCATACATGAGTTCTTTAATTTTATACGTTTCTAATAATGACAATAATTTAATTAATTATGAATTAATGCTGTTATTCGTCATTAATGTAATTAAAGTTATTGCATAAAAAGGCGTTCTTTTTTGGAGAAAATTAACTTATTAAATATTATTAAGTTTTTTTTCTTTTGATACGCAAAGCATGTACGTACATACATTAACAGTTAAATACGTACGTACATTAAGTACGTACGTACGTACGTACACGTTAAGTACGCACCTATGTACGTACGTACGTACGTACCTACCTGCTACTTACCTACGTACGTACCTGTATATTAACATAAATATAATAATATAATAGTTACTATAATAATTACATTATACATTATACATTATACATTATACATTATACATTATACATTATACATTATACGTATACATTATACGTAACAGACAATACTGTTACATACGTTGTATATTTTTAACCAACAATTTTATGGATGGATTTATGTTACCTTTATTATTTTTATTATTTTATTATTATTTATTATTTTATTATTTTTATTATTATTTTTGACAAAGATTTTTAAAAAAAACATTATCGGCATGAATTAATTGAGATAACAATCAAGGCTGTGTAGCCTAAAAAAGTTATTGTAAATTTACCATTTTTAGTATAATATAAGGGAATGACCAGTTCAGTTTGGTATTAGATAATATCGGCCTGCTCCCAACTTACCTTTCATTGAAGCACAAAATGGATCTCCATTGAGGATACTACGTATATATCTATACGCCATTTGACACAAAGGTAAATATTTGTATGTATGCATCAATTAACTTTCCGATGATGGCTTATATATATTTAAACAGTCATGTTGTTCTTTTGTATAGCGATGCTTTTTTGGCTAAAACTTTTATGTAAAGAATAACCCGACTAACTAAATAAGTAAAGAATATAGAAAAAAAATTGATGTGCCTATTAAATTATAAAACGTAACCGTAACGTAGCGCATGTAAATTGTATCCATGTACAATTTCCTTTTGATTAATTTTATCATCTAACTATCTCTCATCTTTATTTCATCTTTCTTGATTCTATTGCAGGTATTGTATTCATTTTATACTTTTTTAAATATTTAAATATTTAATATTTAATATTACCGTTTTCCTTTTTTTTATCTCCGTAAACTTTTCTTCATAAATCATAAAATACTCTACCAAAATAATCTTAGTTTTATATTAATTGCTGAATAATTTGTGAATATTAAGGTTTTTGGGCTTTTATATTTTATAGGTCTTTGTATCTGTAATAAGTCAAGCCCTTTTCCAATAAAAGTAATAAAAAAAAAAATCAAAAGAAATCTATATAAAGCCATTTTATGGTTTTGTAAGCTTGACCTTTTGAACATTTCATTAACGAGAAATGCACGATTTTCAACAAAATAATTCCTCTCTTACTATAATAAACAACGGTTTTCAGAACTCTCAATCAGTTACTCAACCTTTACAAACTCTTACTTTACTTCAAACGAACGGTGCTTCTTCTCATCTAAACATCTTGAACATTTATAAACCATGTCTTCCATGTCTTTCGTGTCATGATAATTACTTTGACCAACCTGTTCCTTCCAAACAATCATGGTTGACAAATCAATATATAAATTCGGCCACGAATCACGATAATATCGGTCAAAGCGGTCAAAGTGGTCAAAGCGGTCAAAGTGATTTTGATTTATTTGAAATACCTAAAGGTGAACAAGATAAGACCACTGATTTTCAAATGGGTAACTATTATTATAAGATCATACTTTCTTTTAATTTATTTCGACTAACACTTTTTTTTTAATTTTTTTTAATTTTTTTTTTAAATTTTTTTTTAAATTTTTTTTTTTAAAGGTGAATGTATGCGTTCCGATACTCAGAATACATCTTCGCCTCTTACTCCTTTGGATTCAACTAATCTTTGTGGTGTAGAAGATACTTCTTCTGGAATGTATTCGTTTGGCGTTAACAATATTCACGAATCAATAATAACTGACAACGTGGATCAAATGTCTATTATGGATGAGGTAGCAACTATATTTAATATATATGTGTGCATGTGTTTTTACTTACAGTATTTAAACAGTATTTAATATTCTCTTTTAAATTTTTAGTCTTCGTCTACTCAGAAATCGATTTCATCAAACAATATCTATATGAATTGTTCCCAACCAAATCAACCAAATCAATATCAATCTCAACCAAATCAATATCAATCTCAATTCATACAACAACCGAATCAACTTAATTATTCTCTACCACCAATTAATTCACGTCAAATCAATAATGTACTTCCGATCAATTTACCCTCAATTAATTCGGCAATTAATTCGATAAATATTTCGACAAATAATTCTTCGATAAATAATCCTTCAACGACGATAAATAATTCGACGATAAATAATTCGACGATAAATAATTCAACAACAATAAATAATTCAACGACGATAAATAATTCAACGACGATAAATAATTCAACGACGACAAATAGTAGTTTAATTTCCTTTAAATGTATTCTTTCAAATGCTAGCGATACATATAATGCAAATAACTTTGGTTCTCAAAGTTTTAATTTCAATATTGAACAACGCTATCCTCATCAATTCATATCCAGTATACATCAACTACCTCACTTACCAAGGACAATTAATGTTGTAAATGTTAATACGCTTTCTAACTCTGGATTCATTTCAATTCAAACTCATCTCGGTGTCCATCCTCATCAACATCTTAATAAATCCTCTTTCTCTCGACATTCACAACATTCACGAAATTCTCGAAATTCTCGAAATTCTCGACAACCTCACCAATCTCACCAATCTCACCAATCTCGACATTCTTCTCCGAATTCTCTGAATCTAAATTCTTTTTCGAATCCTTACTATTCCAATTCCAATGGTTCAATAAATCGTCTTTCGATCGAAGTTTTACATGAAATTTTATTAAATGTTATTAAATCATGTGATTTATTCTCTTGTTTATTAGTTAATAGACAATGGTGTAAAATCGTTGCTCCTATCTTATGGGAAGCTCCAAATCCTGGCTTTAAAAAAGCTAAATTTCTTGTAAGAACTTATTTACTTTGCTTGCCTCAAGAAATTAAAAGATCCTTAAAAAACAATCATATTCCCGTTCCTCCTGCTCCCAGGAGATGTCTTCCTGCTTTCGATTATCCCTATTTTTTGAGAAAAATTACTGATAAATTTATTAGTCAACTTACTGAGGCTTGGTTATTCAAAAAATGGTCCGTTGATAAAGTAAAAGCTACTTCTCAATTAAACCTTATCCTTCATAATCTCTTTTTCTCAAGAGCTCAAAAAATTACTTCTTTATCTTTTGATGATGATGCTTCTTGGCCTTTTGTTGATCAAAAGTTTTCTTGTTTACAAAATTTATCTTTTCTTAAAATTTCCGCTTCAAATATTTCAGATAATAGTCCTCTTCCTTTTTTAAATTCTCTTTTACTTTCTTCTTGTTCAAGAATCAAAATAATTGAATTTGATATTGATCCTAAATACCTTGATTGTAATGATTCCATCGTTAAATTAATTCTTTCTCAACGTGATTTACAAAAAATTACTTTAAATAGATGTCATCATTTCCTTAAACCTTTAATTCATGTCTTAAAATCTCTTTCTTCTTTAACTTCTTTAAGGTTTAATCGTGTTAATTTTGATTCTTTTAAAGAAATTTTCGACTCCAATTTTATTAATTCCCTTAAATCAATAGATCTTATAAATTGCACTAGATTAGATAACAAATTCTTCAAGAACTTTCTTTGTAAAGCCCACAATTTATCCCAATTCGAATTTTGTGATTATAATTCTATTGATCCTTATATTTTAGACTTAATCATGAGTTTATTAACTTTAAATAATAATTTAAAATGCCTAATCCTAAATATCCCCGGGGAATATTCGGATTTGGTTGACACTATAACAAAACATTGTAAAAAATTAGAATATTTGGAATTACCTCTTATAAGAAAATTCGATATTTTAAAGGTTTTATCTGGATGTCTTTGTTTAAAATATTTTTATTTTATGATAGATTTTTCTTTAGATCGTTCTTTCTTTTTACAAATT